GTCAAACTTTAAATTTCATTATTTTTGTAAAATAATAAATATAAAAATATCCAATGCAACAATGGATGTCTTTTTTATTCATCTTTAAGTATGTAGAGGATCTGGATCCATTTCATATCAAGTTGTGATGAACAAGGTCTGAAGGTCAATGTCATGTTACTTATATAATCTATCAATGCAAGCTATCTTTATTCAGCCTATGTGTGTGTTGCCTACTGCATATGGAGAACTGTTGATTCTGACATTCAAATGTTAACACTTTATGATAAGTGGAACACATCTTTAGAAAATTAAATGACAATTATACAATACCAACATGGCCCCTTTAAATTTGGTACATTTTAATTTTGCCTTGGGTAGGTCAAAATTGATCGTAATAAATGTGAAATTATCTCATTACATAAATGAACAAGGTAAGGTTTAAAAGTTTTGATTAACAATTAGCCTACTTTAATCAATGCAAGCGTTTTACAGGCTGTTGTGATGACGAAATCAGCTCCGTATATTAGACATATTAAATATATATTAGATTTAAGTTGTGCCATTTTAGCCTAGACAGCCTTTACAAAAATAAGAAAACGTATATTAGTAAAACGAAGGACAACATTATTTTATTTAGATCCTCTAAACTAAATTGATTTGACATACTTTCGGGTTTTCCGTACTGGGATGGGGAAATCACAAGGTGACGTAATTTGAAATGGGCGTGGCTTCCTACGGCACACTCAGACATGTTGATGTGGGCGGGGTTGGATGTCCACCGCAGGCTGCAGCGAGCCCTACTTGTTCAGTCCTGCGGATATTACCTAACCATCCTCCCTAGAGTCGCACAGGCTCGCGGATTGTTTCAAAACCCAGTGAGCTGAATACACAGAGCGCGCTTTTGGGCCTCATAGGCATCAGCTGACTGAGAATACGCCTGTGATGCTGTCTAGGTAGCCAGCTTACTACTGAATTGAAACATAGCCGGAGAGGATTCAGGCGATCCCATGCCGTCTTCGTTGGAGATGGCTTTGAATGTTTTCCAAAACGTTTGCTTAATCGTGCATTTGAATGACAAAAAAGGAATGAAAAATAAAACCCTTGTATAGACACCGCAGGTTGTCGATTACAGACGGTAGGTCTTAAAATGTATGGGCTTACATTTCTGTCACAATTCTGCGCGCGAAAGATCATATTTTGAGCGCACAAAATCACAATAAAATAAAGTTGTGATCAAGTCGCTTTCATATTCTAATCTATTTTTTATATAGAATATTTTACGATTTCTGTAGAAACTATGTTTGAAAATGCTATTGTCATCGGATAAAAAAAAAAATGTCTGATGCAGGAAAATTGGTTCCCACTGTTTTTGACCAATGAATTTGCATGCAATTTTTAGTTTAAAAATTTAACTAACCTTTTAACTAACCTTTGCGGCCAGTTCTGCTAAATGAACAAGGATTTGTCAATCGTTTTGATTCAGAGCAAAAGAATCGGAGAGGCATATTAATCCAATTGTTTACTAGAAAAATAAATCACTATGGAAATTTCCAAGATACAAATTATATAGTAAACTACTGATTACAGAAATATACCAGTAGGGGCTTGTCCTAAATGTAGTTATTTTGATTAAAATAATGTGCTCTTATTTAGAAGTACAGGTCTGACTAGAGAATTTTACTCTAGAAATCTGGGCCTAGGATAATAATGGACACATGATTTTGTTTTCAACAAAAATAACAAAAAGTTCAGATTTAAAGTCTAAATTGACACAAATCAGCAAAACAAAAGACTCTGAACTATGATTTTTACATTCAGAACACACAACAAATCTCTGCTAAAACTCCAAAGAGGATTTGGATGTTAACTTCAGCCTAGTTAGCAATCTTTCAAGTTCTTGCTTTGCCAGTTTCTGAATAGCAATGAAGCTAAACACATACATTTATTATCATAACAGCAATAACTTCACATAAAAATGTAACAGTGGTATACAACAGTGGTATACAAAAGCCAGATTCAATATTTCTATTAAAATTGACTTATGTAAATAAACACCAGAAGTCATTAGATCTAATGTCAAATGAAGGGCTACTCATTCCTCAGTGATTGAAAGGCTGCCAAGCACCAGGGTAACGAGCAGCAGCAGGGGCACAGTGAAACCCAGCATGCCCAACAAACAGCCCTTGAAACGTGATCGACGGTTCTCTATACTGCACTGCCTATAGAGAGTTTAACACAGTGGCAACTGTAATATTAGACATTACAATCTAATGAACATTGGCGTTTGCCTATACAGTATGTATGAATACAATATAAGGATGTACTACCTGTCATTATGAAGTGTCTCAGTGATGGCCTCAGTGATGAGCTTGCAGTCCTTCTCCAGTGAGTTAAGCGTGTTCTGCACAGTCTGGTTAATGGTCTTCTCTATAGTCCGACACACCTCCTCAATCTGATTGACACATCGACTGGGCTGATGGTGGAGACAGTGAGGAAAGATACTTCAGTATTCTTTACTTACGAAGTAAGAAAGTTGTCACATTTGCAGTGAGGAACTGAAAAATTGTGGTTGCACCTTATTAGGGTTGGGAACATAGATGGTGGGCATGTCGAAGCCACACTTGTTGAGTCCTGGACGCTTGCAAAGCTCCTGCACAATCTGCATCATAACTCTCTGAAATAACCAATAATAAAGCAATTGGACATGTCATTATTAAGCAGTCAAACAAAGACAATTTGCCTTTAAAGAACTTGTCCTTTACAGTCCCTTGAAACACACACTACTGTTAAAATGCTTGGAAATTAAAGGGGTCATATGATGCGATTTCAATTTTTCCTTTCTCTTTGGAGTGTTACAAGCTCTAGGTGCATAAAGAAGATCTGTAAAGTTGCAAAGACTAAAGTCTCAAATCCAAAGAGATATTCTTTATAAAAGTTAAGAGTCAACCACACCCTCCTAAAACGGCTCGTTCTAACACGCCCCCACATATCTACTTCACTATATGGGAAGATTTGCATAACGCCGCCCAAATGTTCACGCAAAGGCGTAACTTATTCTCACTGTAGTATTGTTGCCGCCAGTTTTGCCAGATTGGGCGGGTAAAAATAGTCTTGGGCGGGTAGACAAAATTTGGGCTGGTTTGGGGTCAGTTTGGCGGTTTTCAAACATATAAATTGCATAGGCTAATTGTTTAACAAACAAGCCCAAGTATGCATGTACTGCATTCAATCAGTCATCACAACGTTACTAAACACAGACACACACTGCAGAGGCGCTGGTGCTGATGTAAACGTCAATAGCGGCACTCTTCATTCATGAGTGAGTTTTTAGCATAAGTTATAACGTATCCGATTTTGAATGTAGTATGACTGTATTTTCAAGTAATCACAATGCCTAAATATAAGTTAAAGAGTAGGAGAGTGACTGAACTCAAAACGTGAATTATTGTGGAGTGAGAGGACACGAAGGCTCCATCACTGCAACTCCGAAATCAGAGCACATTTGAATTATTCAAAACCGAAACTAAATATGTCGGTTAATACGATCCGGTCTTTTATCTTTTAAACGGTCCAGATTGATAAATCCTTGAAAACTGCTAGACTTGATTAGCTTTGGCTGTGCAAAGTTCTGTATTATGTTCTACAATATGAACTTAGAACCAGAGGAAGCCTCGAGGCAAGATCTTGTTGTGTAAAATTATAGAGCGACACGAAGATACGTGCATTAGCCTATTGTTGTTGTTTTTTTTAAATTGTCAGATTATAATTCAGTATGTATCATTGAATGACAGTTTTGACTGTCATGGTGTGTGCATGAATGAGGCTATGTAGGCTATTTGGCCCGATTCGAAATTTATCTAAACAAAATAATGACGACAAAATAATATAAATATAACGTTAAAGGAGTTAAAAATGGCCCTTATCCACCTTGATTTACATATTCTATCACATTATTTTGACAGTTAAAGTTTTGGACGGGTTTTTGTGAGCTTTTGGGCTGGAAATCGTCCATCCAATCTGGCTGACTAGAAATTAGTTGTCAAGTTGTATTTACAACTCTGTTCCAAAACAGTTCAACCCAAATATTCAGATGTGTGAAGCACATTTTATGGAGGACTGTTTCCTGAAGCTGCAGAGTAACCTACAATGCGTCTCTGCTCAAAGGCTGTTTCTATAAAGTGGGGCAGTTCCAACTTTGCAAGGACAGTCTGGCGCTTCTGACTCAGCCTGTAAGTACGTTTTTTATATTTAAAGAATTTGCCACTGATGATTAAAATGCGAGTTTTGATTAGTGTAGAGTAGTGCTTGTTTGTCTTTTCTTCGATCACAAATGCAGACATGGTTTTGTTTACACGGCGCGATACGCAACGCGTAAAAACGCAGTACAAGTCATTATAATCAGTAATTATGTCCCCACTGGATGCAACAAATGCCTCGTTTGTAATGGGTTTTATTGGTGTGGTCTCATCGCGCCGGGAGACGGTGTTCTGACGATTTGTGCTACCCTGTCAGATTTTGCTACCTCCCATTAAAACAGATTAGGGATGCAATGATTATAGATTTTGTTGGCACGATTATAGTCTGAGGAATAATCACGGTTATACGATTATGGCGATTATTATGCATTTATTCATTTCACAACATTACTAATGTATAAAATCACATGCACACTCTTTAGATATTAAAGTGTTCTTTTTTTTTTGCTGGCTTTTGAAACAGAAATAACACAGTAACCAACAATACAGCACAAAATAATAATAAACAAAAGACAAACAAAAGTCCATCTCTCCCATTGGAAAAAAAGAAAAAAAAAAGAAAAGAAAAAAGAGACCTCTGCTCTGTAAACATCCATGACAGTATTTCTCTTTTGAAAATAACAAATGGAAATAGATCACAAAAGTATTTAATGTTTTCAGTTTGTACATTCGTTACATTTCTTTTGGATCTGGGGTAGAGAATTTGGAAACATGGTGAAAAAAAAAAAATCTTATGAATAATACTGCTGCGCATGTGTACAGACATTCAGGAGGACACAATTCTTGAGAACGCTGCCCCGCGACTTTTATTAATAAAATAGATTAAATAGCCTACTGGAGACGAGACGCACAGACACAGGTAGGCAACTGTCACCTCTCTCTCTCTCTCTCGAATAATTAATTCAAGTAGCTAAAT